AGCAAAAGCATCAGTATATGTTTGTATATTACATTGTACATACGTACAATGTATGGAATGTACATTAAAAGGAAATGCTCTTGTTCAAAAATGCTTGAATAGTTTATGTGGCTTAAAGATACAATCTCAAATTCTAATTCTCTCATTAATTTTCTACTTTTACTGAATTGTGTCTCTCTTTCTGACTTAGTGCCATCTACTTCCAGGCTCCCTCACTGATAGATAGCTTATAGATGAATATCATTTCCCCCATGCTATTTTACAAGGGAGCATACTTCATTATGATGTTGTGTAGTTTTTGCAAAGCTCTGTGTTGGGCAATGTAAGGCTATAGGCATTAAGGAGGTATCATTCCTGTTCTTAGGGAGTTAACTTAGTGGGAGAGATACACAGGTAGTCAATTATATTATGAAGCTGAAAGAAAAGGTGCTGTGATTGACATATAAAAAAGGCTGTGGTTGCAGAGTGAAAGGAGTAATTATTCTAACTGAGAAGATCAGGAACAAGGAAGAACAGAAACTAATGTTTATTGAGGGCTTAAAGTGTGCCAAAGTGTGCTGGAGTGTTGCTCTAGGTTCTGGGAGGAGGTTGCCTTTACACTGGGGTGTTTAAACTCTGGGACCATGCTGGGACAGCATGAGTTAAAGACACAAGAAGACAGTGAGGAGCTATTCCTCTTGGGGCCCAAAGAGATAAAGACTAGAACAAGACTGAACTTGAGACAATTTGATGGGAAATGGGATCAGTAAAGGAAAACTGGTTTAAATTCCAATACAGAGGTGGAGGGAGAATTCTAAGTGAAGAGGAAGAATATTAGTAAGAACAGGCTCCTTCCTTAGTGCAGAGGAAACAAAGGGACAGGAATTAGAGGAAAGGGGGGTCTGTATTTGCATTGGTGGGGATCAATTGTGAGACAAGAAAAGAGCAAGGATCTGGGTGGGACTGGAGGGTTGGAATAAGGACACAGATGGGGTGTCTGCTCTATGAGAAGAGTTCAAAGTAAGCAAGACCTGCAGCTCTGTGCTTGACTAGGCTAGTGGTTGGCATGTCCCTACAGGATGATGGAGCCAGTGTAAATTTGTTAGCCTTATCCCTCAGCTAAACTGTAAAAACTGAGAGCACAGACTGTCTTCATCCTGCAAGATTCTCCGTAGAGCATCTTATTAGACTGGACATGTAGCAGATTTTCACAAAATCATAATTGATTCATGGCAAGCCAGGAGGTAGATTTCAGCAGTCAAGTGGATAGTTATGGATTTCACAGTGCTGCAGACATTTAACCTGAAAATTAGTCACACAACTACGAAGAAGGTGAGAACCACTGAAGACTTTTCCATCAGTAATTATTCCTAATCATAATTTTCCAGAAAGAAAACTGTGTCAATTGATTAACTTCTACTATAATTTATTAGCTGCTTAGTATACTTTGTCTTGACTAATGAAAATGTGTAGAGATGCATTTTTATGGAAACAAAGTATTGGCAGCTTGATAGCCTTGAGATAAATAAAGACTTTTGCATTATCAGCCAGGGGGATTCCTATCTCTCCTGGTGCAGCTTCGCAGTATATACTTTAAAATTTTTCTTCTTTTCCCTTATTAGTATCTGTTACTGAACTAAACTCAGTGTTGCTAAATATCACTATAAAATATTTTACAAACATTTATGGGGCTGATCCAGCAGATCTAAATTATCATTAATTTACTCACTATATGGAAAGACAAATTTTGTTTCTGTGTAAAATAACTTAGGAGAAGTTATGATATAGATATTAAAAATGTTTTCCTAATTTATAGGAAAGACAAATTTATAGCAAGTATGCCTCACCCTGTGCCCCTCTGTGTCTGCAATACATATCTATAAATTATAATGCCACCCTTTTCTGCAAGCCTGTGACTTCAGAATCCTTCCCAACACAACACTATAGATAGCAAGAAGGTGAGGTTGGGTTGCTCACCATGGTCTGTAACCTCCCCCATCCCAAGGCAGGCACCTGAATTTTTGGAAAAATGATAGATAGATATATTAGATGAATTAATGGGTGCATGAGTGAAATTTAATTTTTTTTCCTGGCATTAGTACAGAAATGGTGACAGAGCCAGCATGAGTGTCACCATGTACCATGAACACCAACTCATAGACCCCTAGAGCCTGGTGAGAACTCACTGAGTGTCTCCTATCAACTTTCCCATTTCCAAACCTGAAAGCATGGTGCAAAGAGGGCATCCAACTCTAAAGCAGGCTCTGAAGCTTGGGAGTCATTCTGCCACATTCCACATCTTACTAACTTCTTTCTCTGTGTGGCCTTTAGCATTTCTTTGCCATTTCCTTCATAAAATAGAGATAATGATTCTATCTGCTTTGTAGAATTTTATGAAGCTTGAGTAAGATAAGGAAAATTAAATTGCTTAGTATAATGCCTAGAGTTTGGTAAGCAATCAAAAAAAGTTAACTTCTCTCCTCCTTTTCATTTATATTAGCTGAACCAGTGATGATATTATAGGCAAATGTAGTAATGTAGTAAAGACATCATTGTTTATCATATTTCATCATGCTTTGTTTTCCACATTTTCAATGAGTTGAAAGTTTTTCTGAGTCATCTTTATTTTATGTTTATGGAAACAAAGAGAATATAAAGAGGTTTTTGCTTTCTGGCTGCCATGAGGTGAGCAGCTTTTCTCTGCCATGCCCTTCTCCAAGGTGTTTCTGCCTTGCAGTGACCTAAAAGCAGGGAAATGAGCTGACATGGATCAAAACCTTTGAAACCAGTGCAGAGATGGAGACAAAGGAAGAGTGGGAGAAGAGAAACTAAAAAAGAGAAGAATGTGAAAGAGTTGTGAAATCTGCCACTCCAAGCTCCACTATATCTGAGAAGTTCATCCATTAGCTATTTGGTAATGGATTTACCATAGTCTACCTTGACACACTCAGAATGTGTACACAATCACAAGAGCAAAATTTATCTACGGAGTGCTCGGGATAAACCTAAGACCCAAGTTAGGCAAGTATTCTTCTACCATTGAGCTACATTCCCAACCTTGTTTTTGGCATCCCTAAGGGGTCTTTCCATTTGGTGGTTCAGAGTTCACTTTGGAAATGAGAATAGTCCAAAGTACTCTGCTCTGATGGGATTGTAGGTAGAAGCCATTATTGTGGAGCAATAAAATACTTTTATTCAAAATACTTAAATAGAATGGAGTGATAAGAAGGGAAAAGGAAAGGAGAATATCCACATGTCCATGGCAGGTTTCTTTATGAAATCAAAGCTGTTCATCCATAGAGGCGTGAGGTTTGACTGTTAGCTCTCTTGCACTTCACTTTGATTGCTTGACTGAAGCTTCCCCAGCATCCCCATTACAGGTTTGATCAGAGAGTTCTAGGATAATCCAGAACAGTCATTTTTAAATAAAAGGAAAAGGGTTTCATTCTTGCAGTGTATCCCTTCCAAAGATGTAAATCTTCCGTGGTGTGATCAAGCTCTGTGAAGCAGCCTCAAATTCATTCCATAGATGGAAAATACTCCTTAAATGCATCACAAAATAAAAGTGCCACTCACCAACTGAACACCAGTTGGTTGTCACAACATCTTGTGGTGGTAGGTCCACTGCCCAGGAAAACCCCTCCGTGAGATTGGCAAATGACTTCACCATCTGGCTTTCCTATTAAGCAGCCTGGATCCATATACCTCCTGGCAAATATGTCTGTTATGTGGGGATAAAGGACCAAGCCACTTCTTGACAAGACCCTGCTGAGAGAATGAGGGCACAGGTTCCTGAGAGGACTCAATGTCCAACTCTAATAAGGCACTGGGGAACCAGAGGCTCTCTGAGGAACACTGACTCAGGCAATCGCTCAAGGAAATATAGACTGACATAAATGCTCCCGATGCTGTACTTGCAGAATGATGCTAATGCCTCTGTGGAGGGCCGAGTGACTTGTGGCATAACACCATCAGAAGGAGGAGAAACACAGACAAAATAATGATGCTAGCAACAGGAAAATCAAGCATCACTGCCAGAGAAACTTGCTATCTACAGGTCATTCTGTGCATCCTTGAAGCAAATCATTATCAGTTTTGTGGCTGTATAAATGTACCTTCAATGTGAGAACTCAGTTTTATGATACTTTGAATAAAAATAAAAAGCAGCAGTTAAAAAAAAAGAGAAATTATAGGAAATAGATTCTACTAAATAAGAATATTTTCTGTGTGGAAAACATAAAATCCCAGAATACCATGTACTTTTCTTTGATTAATCATATTGTATCATAATATATAGCCTGCTTTGTAGAAAATATATTCTTAAAAGTTGTCTTTAAATAGTACAGGATGTTGTAATTTGAGTAGACTGCACTATTCTTTCAAAAAATAACTCAAATTTACATTACACATTTAAACCTTCAGTTCAGTCATTATTTGGGGACAGGGAGGGAAAGGGAAAGTTTTAGTTGGCTTTATGTTGTTGCCAGGAAACACACAAAGGCATCAGAAACAGATGAAACAAACAACTCCACATTGCTGGGAAGGTGGCCTTAAAGGGCAGGCACTTAATTGGTAGAAGAACGTTTACAACTGTGTCAACTAAAGACCCTAGATGAGAAAATGGAGCTGGAAAACACAGCATGTTAATGTAAACGAGGTTAGTAAAGAGATTTTGAGAAGTTGCTTTTCTAATGCATTTAAATGAGAATCAGAAGGGGTGTCAATGTCAATTGTTATAAACATAGGGAAACTTAAGACATTTTTAATCAAATCACGTAAGCAGAGTAAAAGGAGGGATACTGTGGGTTTTTAATATAAACCATGGAATCAAGTAAGTGGGTGGCTTGGTGCTTTCATTTCCTACCTTGGCTTGAACATTTTGCCTCCGAATTGGATCCCTTGAAAGGTTTGTACATTCGTTTTGAAATTCTATTGCTAAGTTGGATTTCTTTTCAAAGGTACCTGTTGAGGGGGAAAGAAACACATAGCGTTGAAGTGCGCTGAGCAGAGGCGAAACTATTATGAGTCACCAGAGTGTCGCACTTAACTTAAACACGAGATCACAGCATGGGCCAAAAAGCCCTGGCAGGACAGAAGGTGAAACTGGGGATGGAGACTACGGCACAGACCTGCTTGAAAATGAGCTCAGCGTAGGCGACTTTGTGAAAATACAGAGGGCCTTTGAGGTAAGTGGAAAGCTTGTTGACCAGAGAGTGTAAGCTGTCATAAAGGACACTCAGGATAAAGTAGAGATTTCTCTTAAAAAATATTCAGCTGTTAGTCTTTAATGGCTAAAGCAAGGAGCAGAAAAGAGTCAGGCCTGGATTCAACACCACAGATCTATTAACTTTATCCTTCAGTTCTTTGGAACAAATAATATTTAGTTTAATATTGCTGCACATGTAGATAGCATTACCATCAAGGAAGGACAATTTATTCTTGGATAAAATTTTTCTTAGAGTTCAACATATTTGGAGGAAAGCAAAAAATTATGGTTGTGAATAAGAAAAGCCAATTGTTATAGTTAGAATATGAAAGTCCCCCACATGCTCATGTTTTGAATGCTTGGTCCCCAGCTGGTAATGCTATTTTGGGAAGTTCTGGAAACTTTAGAAGGTAGGGCTAGTTGGAGGACGTAGGTCACTGGAGGTAGGTTCTTGGGTGTATCTTGTACCTGGTCCCTTTACCCATCTCTTTCTTTGCTTCCTGTGCACTATGAGGTGAACAGCTCTCATCTGCCACATGCTTCTGCCGCCATGTCATTCTTCCCAAGTGTGTGGAGGACTGACACTCAAACCATAAGCCAAAACAGATGTTTCCTTCTCTAATACCAACAAGGAAAGTCACTAATATACCAAGTGCCTAAAGGAACCCCCAGTAACAACTGTCCTTGCATCTGATATGGACACAGAGCTAGGTAAATTCAAATATAACCATATGGTTAATGAAAATTCTCTCCTACCTCACCCTGAGTGTCATAGCTCCTTTTCAAAGCTGATTTTCATACTTTGTTGCCCCAAGACAAAGTGCGGGATCTACCTCCCTCATTTTTTGTAAATCCTGGAGCAGTGTCAATGAAAACAAAATTGAAAGTTTTCATTTAATTCTACATAGAAAATAAACCATTGGAATTTAACTACAAATGAACAATTTCTTTCTTTTTACCTTAGTTAACTTGGAATTCTGCAACTATGCATAATGAACAGTGTATGTCAAAGTGATTTTTTAGTTTCAAATGTGTATGAAAAGAAGTGTTCTTCCATTCTGTAGAATTTGGATAGACATGAGCTTCCATCCTTTCTGTTTCATTATGTTCGCTAAAATATTATCTCAGGACTTCAAAAGGTCCCCCAGGGGTTGCTTGAAATATCCATAATAATATGAAGCAGACATGCAATATTTTTATTGCAACCTTGAAATTAATAAAACATGAACTCTAACTAATGGCCTATAATTGGTGCACACATTTTAACTTGTAACTATCCAAAAAAGAGGTTGTTAATCACTGAAACCCTGCTAAACACTGTTTTGTATAACAATTTAGATTCTACCTGTATTGATAAATTGACATTCCAGTAATTTCAGTTATTTTCTATAATAGAATCTGTCATATTTAGTAGTAAAGACATGTTCTTATAAGTTTCTCATTTTAATCTTCATGTATTTGCTATTCATTTAACTCTATTTGTCTGAAAGATTTCAGCGCCACTCATGCCCAGGGCCACAAAGGAATATGGCATATTTTGATAGACATGGCAAACATTTTGACAGCATGAGGACAATCAGAAAAACATAACAGCAGATTATGACAGATTTGACTCTAGAATGAACAGAAATGTGGCAGTTTGGTTCTGAAAACAAAGAATTTGAATGCTAGGATCTATTAAGAAAGTTAACATTATAAAGTTGATGTGTTAGTGACACTACTACGAAGGTTGTCTTTCAAACTACAAATTAGTCTTGAGTGAGCTCAAATGAAGCAGAAAAATTCAATCTCAATGGTTTTTGTTGTTGTCATTTGTTTGTTTTATATTAAACCTTTCAAAATTGGACCACTTATTTTGAAATAACCTGCTGGAAAAGCAGGTACTGATGGACCAAAATGGAGAAGGGAAAGCAATTCAGAGTTTATATATACAAGAGAATATATGTGATAGTTTTCTTTCCAAATGAAGTTTGCAGGAAGACTTTCAACAAAAAATGAAGTCCATCCATTCTTAACACACTCAACAGGCACAGAATAGAACAATACAATGACAAATGTGGAGCCAAAGTTAGACCCTGACCAACATGATTTCCAAACACAGCATGACTATGTAGAGAAGATGATGTGCTGAATGACTCAAGGGGAATCCAGTGCATCTGTCATGTGCTCCAAGTCCACAAGCCACAGGAGAAGATGGTTGTAGAGGGAAAACATGCTCCGGGTGATTGACCTTTAACACAGAGCTCCAAAGGCTGTGGTGTGTGGGCCAGTCACTAAAGGCATGTTTTTGGAAATGCCAAGATTCTGCAACAAGATTTCTTTATCTTTTATTTTGTTTTGTTTTATACAGATTTTTATTTGGGATTGAAGAGTTGTCAGATATTACCCAAAATCCATCTCCTTAAATAGCACAGGCAATGCCTAAGTGAAAAATAGGAGGTTTGATCTTTGAATTGGCAGTGAATGTTTATGAATATTTCCAAGTAAAATATCCAATACCATATAAATCTTAGTGGTAACATTTGGGAATAAAGCAGTAATTATGCCCATTAAACAACGGCATAAAGAAATCGTAATCACTTAGTGATTAAGCACTAGGAGTCAGATTTTCCAGATTTGAAAACCACCTTTGCCACTTACAATGTGACTTGGTGCAAATCAACATCTTTGGGCCTCAGTTTCCTTCATTTCTACCATGGGGAATAATAGAGCTTTTGTAAGAATTTAGTAAGGTATTATTTGTAACACACTTGGAGGAGTGTTCAATTAACATTGGGTATTATATATTTAGTCAGTAGAGGTTGAATCACATGATCTCTAACATTGTCTTGATACTAATTTGTATATTTCCTAAAGGATATCAGACTTCCATTGACATGTGTTATTGTTTTCCTACATTCTTTTCAGTTGCTGTAGGAAATGGTAGCAACAAGAGTTGCAAAGGCAAATATTCACATAGAAGAGGATTTTTTTCCATCTCTTATTTCACATTTTATTAGCAGATAAAATATTTTAATTGATGTCTTGATTCTCTTGTTTGGAATAAAGAATTAAGTGGGTAGAATACCATACAAGTTACTTGTGGATTTCATTTTCTTCCAAGTGATGGTGTCAAAGGCCATATATCAGCGTGAGGGGAGTGAAACTGGTATTATTCATAGAATTGTAAAATAGTTCTCACTCAGACTTTCCTGTAGAACTTGCAATGCTTAAAGAAATGACTTGGTCTCTGGATATTCATATTATTTTGATGTCAGCCATATTTTACATTTTCTTAGATGCTTTTAGAGCCGGCGATGCGTGAGAAAGAGTGGCTGTGGTTGCTGATTTTATAGGAATGGTGAGAAGAAAAAAAATTATGGTCTAAGGGAAATGAGATTTTTGGCAATCCCTATTGGAGCATGATATATATTAAGCTTCTCTGCAAGTCTGGTTATGTAGGTATCTGAGCATTTCCTTCCTTATATTCTCTGCTGTTGATCTCTGTGTGGCCTTTGAGGTTGGATGGTTTGTTGCCTGTTTAATATGGGATCACAGTTTGCACTATACTTCTGGCTCTCTGGATTGGGTCCTGAACTGCCTCTCTCAGCAACTGTGCCTGTTTCATTTCTTGGCATATTCTATTCTGGTCCATGTTGTGGGTTCAGAACTTGGCGCTGGCCCGACCTTATCTACCATTTGCCTAAGCCCTGCTAAATATTTATTTTTATATCACTAGAAATGAAAACTCCTAAGCCACATGTAACATGTGAGGTTATTTATGCCCAAAGTAGAAAGGGTAAAAATAGTCCACTGTGAGAAAGGGCATGGAAAATTCCTAGTAGAAAGTGCCCATAGACTTCTCGTGAGAATTCTGGCATCACTTCACTTGGGATGAATGGACTCTAGACAGAATGCCCTTGTGCTGCTTTCATCTCAAAAACTGGAAAAGTTCCGGAGGCAATTCTGCAAGCCCTAAAATTGTACCTGAGGAGTAATGAAATAATTACAGAATTTATGGTGCCCTCATCTTGGTTTATTTTCATACAATTCCCAAGATGCCTGTGGACAGATTTTTTTTGACAGGACCCATGAACTATGCTTTTATAATTTATCAGGGCAAGGCTGGGGATTGACACCCTGCCAGACAGAGTAGGCTTTAAGGGGATACAGGAAGTCAGATTTGGCTCTTTCCTGCCTTTCCATTATTTGAGTTTCTTTCTAAACAATTAATGAAGAACCCAGTATTTTCTGAACTTTCTGATTGCCCATTGCAACTTCACTATTAAGGTGTCCAATGAACAGGCCCTGCTGACATGTCTCATGTTCTATAGCTATCTTTGTCTTTGCTTTTTTCCTTTCCCCCAGCTCCATTATTTTTAACAAATAAGTAAAATTACTTATCATTCTTTTGTTCCCTTACTTCCGAACATTTAGATTTTGCTTGTTTCTGATAAAATATGAGAAAATCCATGAAGATTATTTATTTATTTATTTTTTACAGTGTCTTTTTATTTTATTTTATTTTTTTCATTTTTCTTTTATTATTCATATGTGCATACAAGGCTTGGTTCATTTCTCCCCACTGCCCCCACCCCCTCCCTTACCACCCACTCCGCCCCCTCCCTCTCCTCCCCACCCCCTCAATACCCAGCAGAAACTATTTTGCCCTTATTTCTAATTTTGTTGTAGAGAGAGTATAAGCAATAATAGGAAGGAACAAGGGGTTTTGCTGGTTGAGGTAAGGATAGCTATACAGGGCATTGACTCACATTGATTTCCTGTGCGTGGGTGTTACCTTCTAGGTTAATTCTTTTTGATCTAACCTTTTCTCTAGTTCCTGGTCCCCTTTTCCTATTGGCCTCAGTTGCTTTAAGGTATCTGCTTTAGTTTCTCTGCATTAAGGGCAACAAATGCTAGCTAGTTTTTTAGGTGTCTTACCTATCCTCACCCCTCCCTTGTGTGCTCTCGCTTTTATCATGTGCTCATAGTCCAATCCCCTTGTTGTGTTTGCCCTTGATCTAATGTCCACATATTAGGGAGAACATACGATTTTTGGCTAACCTCACTCAGAATGATGTTCTCCAATTCCATCCATTTACCAGCGAATGATAACATTTCGTTCTTCTTCATGGCTGCATAAAATTCCATTGTGTATAGATACCACATTTTCTTAATCCATTCGTCAGTGCTGGGGCACATGAAGATTATTTAAATATTTTTTTTACATAAGACTGATTAAAACATAAAATATTATGTTATCCAATAAGGTTCCAAATTAGAAAATCTTTGGTCTTTCTAGTTTGTGCAAAAATTGTGTAAAATATAGTTCAGTATCACTTAATGATGGGACATATTCCAACAAATGTGTTGTTTGTTAGTGATTATATCCTTGTGTGAATATCATCAAGTGTGCTTGTACAGGCTAAGATGGTTGTGAAATTACTAAGTGATATAATTTTATGAGACCACCATCATATATGTGGCACATTGTTAATCAAAATGTCACTATGCAGTGCATGGATGTTGCTATAGCTTTAATATGAATAATGTCCTTCAAAGGTCTGTGAGTTAAACTCTTGATTTCCAGAGAGCAGTAGTGACTGATGCTGTGGACCTTTAAGAGTTGTGACCTAAAGAGATCTCCTTAAGTCAGCAAGGGTATGCCCACAAAGGGGATGGTGTGAATCCACCAGTCTCCCTTGTTCTTGGCTTAAGATGTGGACAGTTTGCTCTGCTACTCACTTCCACCATGATATGCCTCCATCATCAGAGGCCCATACCAATGGGGCCACTCAATGTTGGACTGGAATCTCTAGAACTGTGAGTCACAAAAATCTGTTTTTACTTCATAAGTAACAGGTCTCAAGTATTTCATTATAGGGATGCAAAGTTGACTCAGACAACTATAAATACCAGCTTAAACACAATAGAGGTTTGTTTCTTGCTCACATAAAATAGAGAGCAGATATTTCTAATTAGTGAGTAGCTCCAAGTAGGGATTGAGGACTCCAGTCTTTTGTCTTCTGCCTTCCAAACTTGCCATGCATCAGGCTGAAAGACCAAGGAGGAACATGGTGAGATTTTTGAGGGCCAAGCTCACATCTCACTGGCTAGAACTCAAGGGATGTATAGACATGTGTGTGCTCAGAAAACAAGTCTTATGCATGGTCCCCATAGAGTTTAGTGGCATGAAAATTTTTATCTCTCTTAATGAGCTGGCATACTTCATTTTGTGGTTTTAGGAGAGCCATGTGCCTAGTATGCTTTGTGTTTTGCCTAAGTTCCATGCTAGCTTTAATCTTCCATTGATAAAATTAACTTAGATTTTCTGGAACAATTATCTACTCTTTTCATTATTTAACTCTCGCTTTTATCTATGCCCTATCAGTTCTACCACCTATGTATCTTCTGTTCTAACTGAACTAAAACTCTTTCTATCAGTGGAAGCATAAATGATGAATAAAAATTTAATACCTTTCAAGTGTGGGAATATCTTATAAAGTATTTCTGAAAGCATGATGTTATTTGATCCTCTCAGTGTAGACAGAACAGATATTTTTTATTTCCTGGTTGCTCATCAGGAGATAGACTCAAAAATATTTAATTAAATTCCCTCATGGGGTAGAGCCAGTACTCAGAAATAGATTATCAACTTTTCAGCCATGGCATGATGTGACTCCAAGTGTCCACAAGAAAACCTTCCTTTGGGATGTTACTCTACAGAATGAGAATCAAATATGATAAAGACTTCATTAACAAAACAAGCATGATAAGTTAAGAGTAATTCATATTCAGCAAATAATCAAGAACTCCTATAATAAAACTGATGTAGAGAGAGGATTAAAGAATAAAAAGACAAGAATAGCTCGTTGCTTTTTTAAAATTATTTTTTTCCTTTCCAAAGACATCTCAATGGAGACCTGTGAGAAAGTAAACAGGTTAAACTTACTTTGTAACTCTCTAATGTAGTACAAAGTACATTCAGTATCCTCAGTCAATTCATCACCTCCTGAGCAAAGGCAGCAGCTGAGAGCTTTCTTCACCCCAGCTCCCTTAGTGGAATCAAATACCTATTTTGATGGCAGCAGAAAAATCAGTGCAGCTCTGCAGGTCCTCATCCTCAGCATTAAGGTAATAGAGAAAGGATAAACTCAATAGCTCTGCAGCCGGCCCAACTTGAAATCTCAGAGAAATTCTTTAGTGATTTTGTTTGACTTATTAAAATTCATGGGAGATGACATCAAACAGTGATGATTGCCAATACTCAAGGAAATGAAGTTGTGTGCCAATAACATGAAAAATTGTGCTGAATTTTGTGACAAGTTCTAACAGATTCATGCCATTTCCAATTTTTCTGTGTACTTTTGTAACAGATGCTTAAGACAATTAGTTTGGATGAGAGGAGGTAATGAGAAGTACTTTTGGTAAGCAAATGCTTTAACCTTGAGCTTTAGCCAGTACTGGAGCAGAGAAGGCAATGAAGAAGCTTGTTATAAAGGAGGGAGACAGAAGCCAAAGATGTCCATTGCTATTCATTTCTAATGCAACTTAGCCAGACCCATAGACCACCAGTATAGCTACTTTTTCAAGTTTCCTGAGAGTTAAACAACTAAAATGAAGAAAATGGGCAATGAAACACCTGTGATTCATACCATTTTGACTTCACATTTGTCATGTCCTACCAAGTATAGAATACCAGTAATGACACAAGACACCAGTAGAAGTAGAAAGCTTCCAAATGGTCCCATGTGATTTCTGACTGACCCAAGGCTCTGAGTCACATTTGCTCAGACTCAATACCTGGGGTATTTTCTCCTTTCATCATGTATCACCACCATTTTATGGGTATGACTAATGAAATCCTGATTCTCCAGGCCCTGACAGGCTCTGCTGAGAACTACTGGGGCCACTGTTTTTCCTTTTTTTTTTTTTATACTCCTATACCTTCCATGTGTTCATTCTCTCAACAAACCTGAGATCAGTTTGTCATTCTAGTCTTGTTGCATGCTAGTTTATAACTACAAGTTATATGTGGCTATATAAATTAAATAAAATAAAAACTTAATGAAAAAATTCAGCTCCTCATTTTTCAAGTATTCAGTAACCACGTGTGGCTAGTGGTTGCTGTATTGGACTGTAGAGAATATATAACATTATCATCATTTTTGAATGTTCTATTAGGCAATGCTGCTTCTGATCCTTCTTTCTCATACCTTGTTCTGTTTCCTCACTTCTTGCTACATTTATGCAAGTAAGGGCCACTCTTGGCCCTTTAATCCCCCATGGAAATGCACCAGACCATTCATGCCTTAGTGTTTATAGGACAAAATGATTCTTGACCCTAGAGACAGCAGAAAGTATTTTCTTTTATTCTAATCTAAGAACTACTTTTCCACATTCCTGTCCTAGGACTGTGAAGAATGGGAATATCCATTCCTTTTAGGGAAAATCCTTCATTATTAGTCCATACCCCTTCCAACTCCCAATAGGCAATGCCCAGAGGTATTCAGTCTGGATTTATGGTTCCAAGAATTCATTCACAAAGTCATCTGACACTGGAGCATTACCCTAAAGTGTGATCATATTTCATTTATTTGAACAAATTCTGTTTGAGGGCTTACATAATGCTGGTATCTCAGTTTGGAATATTCCTCTCCCATGTACCAGTTACTCCTACCCATAATTCATGTTTAAATACCTCTGAATCAGGAATATTTTCTCTCACCACTCAGACTAGATTAGTAGCTTGGCACAGTTCTGTTTTCTCATAACAATCTGTGTGTTCCTTTTATTGCTCTTATCACAGATACTATGATTAAGTACAATGTCATTATTTGTTTAAAGTTAAGCAGAAGGGTAAAATAAGCAATGAGAGGTAAATCAGTGTGAGAGAATTTTTTTTATTTTATTATTCATATGTGCATACAAAGCTTGGGTCATTTCTCCCCCCTGCCCCCACCCCCTCCCTTACCACCCACTCTGCCCTCCCTCTCCCCTCAACCCCTCAATACCCAGCAAAAACTATTTTGCCTTATTTCTAATTTTGTTGTAGAGAGAGTATAAGCAATAATAGGAAGGAACAAGGGGTTTTTGCTGGTTGAGATAAGGAAGCTATACAGGAGTTGATCACTTAATTTTCCTATGCGTGTGTGTTACCTTCTAGGTTAATTCTTTTTGATCCTACCTTTTCTCTAGTTCCTGGTCTCCCTTTTCCTATTGGCCTCAGTTGCTTTTAAGGTATCTGCTTTAGTTTCTCTGCATTAAGGCAACAAATGCTAGCTAATTTTTTAGGTGTCTTACCTATCCTCACCCCTCCCTTGTGTGCTCTCGCTTTTTCATGTGCTCAAAGTCCAATCCCTTGTTGTGTTTGCCCTTGATCTAATGTCCACATATGAGGGAGAACATACGATTTTTGGTCTTTTGGGCCAGGCTAACCTCACTCAGAATGATGTTCTCCAATTCCATCCATTTACCAGCGAATGATAACATTTCGTTCTTCTTCATGGCTGCATAAAATTCCATTGTGTATAGATACCACATTTTTCTTAATCCATTCGTCAGTGGTGGGGCATCTTGGCTGTTTCCATAACTTGGCTATTGTGAATAGTGCCGCAATAAACATGGGTGTGCAGGTGCCTTCTGGAGTAACCTGTGTCACAGTCTTTTGGGTATATCCCCAGAGAGTGGTATTGCTGATCAAATGGTAGATCAATGTTTAGCTTTTTAAGTAGCCTCCAAATTTTTTTTCCAGAGTGGTTGTACTAGTTTACATATCCCACCAACAGTGTAAGAGGGTTCCTTTTTCCCGATCCTCGCCAACACCTGTTGTTGGTGGTGTTGCTGATGATGGCTATTTTAACAGGGGTGAGGTGGAATCTTTAGTGTGGTTTTAATTTGCATTTCCTTTATTGCTAGAGATGGTGAGCATTTTTCATGTGTTTTTGGGCCATTTAAATTTTTCTTTTGAGAAAGTTCTTGTTAGTTCACTTGCCCATTTCTTTATGGTTCATTAGTTTTTGGGAGAATTTAGTTTTTAAGTTCCTATATATTCTGGTTAGTCAGTCCTTTGTCTGATGTGTAGCTGGCAAATATTTTCTCCCACTCTGTGGGTGAGAATCTTTTTTTTTAAAACCAGCTTAACGTTTTATTAAGTCAAGTTAACAAACACATATGAAAAACCTGGGTTGGGGGAGAGAGAGAGAGAGAGAAAGAGAGAGAGAGAGAAGAAAGAAGAAAAGTGTTGAAAATGGAGACAATATATTCTTCCAATGCACATCATTAAAAAAATCATATATAAAGATTTAAATTTAAAATAAGACTATTGCACAAAAATGTGACTATGCAATTTTAGTATCTTTAAAAAATTTTACAAAATTTGAAGACAGTTTATGTAATTAAACATTCCTAATATTATTTTTTTTGAGAAAAAGTATTCATTCATGTATTTATTTATTTGTTTGTTCATTTATTCACATGTGCATATATTGTTTGGGTCATTCTCCACCCTGCCCCCCTATCTCCCCTTCCCCCACCCAGTTCTAGGCAGGTCCTGTTCTGCCCTTATCACTGATTTTGTTGAAGAAAAGATGCATAATAAGGAAGACAAACCATTTTTGCTAGTTGAGTTAAGGATAGCTATACAGAGAGATTCCTACTATTGCTTTCGTGTACCCATGTGTTATGACCCATATTGATTCAACTCTAACTGATCTTTACATTAGTTCCTGATCCCCTGTTCATGACAACCTGTCATTTTAAGGTTTCTGTATTAGTTCCTCTGGAGTGGGGACATCAAACATTTTCATGTTTTGGGTTTCTACCTATTCCTTTATCTCCCTTATGTGCTCTCCCCTTGTCTTGTGATCCAAGTCCAACCACATTGCTGCATTTGCCCTTAATCTAATGTTTGCATATGAGGGCAAACATAGGATTTTTGGTCTTCTGAGCCTGGCTGACCTCGCTCAGAATGATGTTCTCCAGTTCCATCCATTTACCTGCAAATGATAATATTTCAATTTTCTTCATGGCTGAGTAAAATTCCATTGTGTACAAGTATGACATTTCTTGATCCATTCATCAGTATTGGGGCATCTTGGTTGTTTCCATAACTTGGCTATTGTGAATAGTGCTGCAATAAACATGGGTTTGCAGTTGCCTCTGGAGTAACCTGTGCTGCATTCCTTTGGGTATATCTCCAGGAGTAGGATTGCTGGATCATATGGCAGGTCTATGTTTAGATTTTTAAGAAGTCTCCATATTTTTTTCCAGAGTGGTTGCACAGCTTGCATTCCCACCAGCAGTGGATTAGGGTTCCTTTTTCCCACATCCTTGCCAACACACTGTTGTTGGGGTGTTTTTGATGATGGCTATTCTAACAGGGTGAGGTGGAATCTTAGTGTGGTTTTGATTTGCATTTCCTTTATGGCCAGAGAATGGTGAGCATTTTTTCAATGTGTTTTTGGCCATTTTGAATTTCTTCTTTTGAGAAAGTTCTGTTTAGTTCAGTTGACCCATTTCTTAATTGGTTCATTGATTTAGGGGAGAGTTTAGTTTCTTCTTAAGTTCCCTATATTCTGGTTATCAGTCCCTTGTCTGATGTATAACTGGCAATTTCCTAAAGGTCATAGGAAAAAAAATCAGCTGCTGTTATAAACCCTAAACTAAGAGTGGGTTATTTTCTAGAAGTAGAAGGAGAAGTGACAAAAAAGAGTGGCTATCGTATAAAATTTCATCATTTTTTATGTTTCCTATTTAAACATCTTTTATTATTAAAATATTAGAAGCAATACATTATTGCCATTATGAGAAACTCAAATTAAAATGAAATTCCCTCTTACCATGGCAAACTCTTGTCCACTACATTTCTCCTCATGCGTGTTCTTAATATTGCATCATTTCGATATTATATGTACATGTGCATATCACATGTACTCTATTTTATAAACGATCTATTTACATATAATCTATTTTATGCATCAAAGGAAGTGTGCCACACAAGTCACTGCTAATCAAATGAAAAGACAGTGAATATGATTAGGAATCCAATTTGAAACTCTAATAAAGAAAAAAGAAACCCTTCTTTCAATCAGCATATTGGCTAAGATTAAAAGGATCAATAATATTTACTGTTG